CCATCCATCCATCCATCCATCCATCCATCCATCCATCCATCCATCAGTCATGCATTTATTTGCTTATACGTTACAATTCTGCTTGGATTATAGGGGGACTTGGATTCAACATTAAAGGTGGGAGAGACCAGCCCGTTAGAGCAGGAGATCCTGGTATTTACATCAGTAGACTACGGCCAGGAGCTGTAGCTGAGAAGGATGGTAGATTAAAGCCTGGAGACAAGATAGTTGAGGTAGGACGTCACAAGTTATAAACTAGAAATGGCTGTCCCCTGTTCGTTTGAAGAAAACGTTATGTACGTTATCTCTCCATCTTCGTGCTTCAGAAACTAGACTGGCATTCAATACAAAATATTCTAACATCGCGTCACTCAGCCACCCCCACCCCTAACCCAAGGCTTTGGCTAAAAACACTTTCTTTATTTTCAGATAAATGGCGAAGATACTCGTAACGTCATTCATGATGAAGCGCTGAAACTTTTCCGCCAAAACCAGCAAAGTATCAGTCTCTTGGTTGAACAAAACGCTATTCTTGTGCGTATTGATGCAACTTATCTTTATCGATTTTTGCTTAACTCCCTTGTTTGTTTTGTTACACGACTAGTAAACACATGTTATCCTGATTTTAGCCGAGCGATTTAACAAAAGATAGAGAAGACGAAAAGAACATACAACGCATTGAACTAAGAAAAGATAAAAAAGGTATTTATGACCATTTTAATAGTATATTTACTTAGTTTAGTTTATTTTCACATAATTAAATGTTTGTTTCTTTCCGCGCTGGTTGGGTATTACTTATTCATCATTATTTTCCTATTTCATAGTTATTCAACCAAGGTTTATATATATATTTATTTATAAACTATATTTTGTTTGTTATTTAAAGGTAAAGGAGTTGGACTGGGCTTTAACATTCGTGGAGGTCGAGACAACCCTTACGTACCCAACGATCCCAGTATCTACGTCACAAGGATACGAAGTGATGGCGCTGCTGCCTTTGATGGACGATTGGGGGTTGGAGATAAGATTCTTGAGGTTCGTTCTATTGCTTTATACATTTTTCTGATTAATTGTGGGGAAATAAAATCCCTTGACCAAGTTCATGTATATTTTCTATAGATAAACGGCGTCAACGTTCGCTCAACTACCATAGATAACGCGGTGGAACTTCTACAACTTGCGAAGAAAAAAGTGACCTTGTTGGTCCTCAAAAGTGCTTTACAAGAAACTGTGGTAAGTGTATCCCCAGGGGGGAGGAGTTGATCTATAGGAGAAATACATAATCCTACAAGCTATCTCTTGACAGATTGTTCGTATTGGACTATGCGTGGTCATGCATGCGAGTAGAGACATTATCTCTTTGCTTGGCTTGTTTTGTTAGTTATGTACATATTTAATCAGTTTGTCAAGTTTTCGAGGATTAGCAAACCAAATCGTACTATGATGGTATGATTGGTGTTGAAATTCAGCCCAAGATAAAAACTGGAAAAGACACAGGAAGGCAACAGATATTGGACGTGTAATGCATGACTTCACACGAATCTAACATATATCTTAACATTTTAAAACCACTTACTTTGCAGAAAAAAGCCCGCGAAGGAGCTGTTGACAGCGTGAGGGGAAAGGAGATTGTCGTGGAATTGAAAAAGAGTGCTTCAGAAGGTAATATCAATCAAGGCAGCCATCATATTGGAGATCAGAATACAATATTAACTATCAATATGCATGACATTCCTGTAGGTCTTGGATTCAACATAAGAGGAGGTCAGGGTACGAACTACATTCGAGGTCATCCAGGGATATTCATCACTTCCATTAAGCGAGGTGGCGTCGCACACAAAGATGGAACGCTACAACCAGGAGATCGTATTTTAGAAGTAACTAAATAAACTGGTCTTGTATTGATTGATATATACATATAATATATCGATATATACTGTATAATCTGTTGTAGATGAATGGTGTGGATGTGAGGAACGTGCCGCAAGATGCCGCTGTACAGGTCGTCAATAGAGCCGGGGACTCAGTTAAATTATTAATAGAGAAAAATGCAGAGGAGCTTTTCAAGAAATCCGAGTTTTTTAATCTTGTAAGTATTGCTAGTTTTCTCTTTATACTCGATAAAAAATAACGCCGGGTTACAACGTGCTTTATTTGTACCACAGATGAGGAGAAAATATAGATTTAAGTGAATGTATGCCACATAAATCCTGATATCATCAACATCACAAGTATTTTATGATTTCAATGCGTATTTCTTTTTATTTATCTATTATTTTAAGAATTTTGATGAAGAAGACATGAGTGGAGAAAAAGGATGCTATTTTAGAGATGGAAAGAGGAATATAGGTAAGACTCGTGAACTGCTGACATGCTTACCAACATCGCCTTCAAGACGACACGAGAGTAAAACAAAGCCGTGTTTGAGTTATAAACTGAAGTATGACTTATATTGACTCGTTTACACTGGTTCTGCATTTTTTGACAGATTTTGTTCTCGTGTACGAAGAAGGTGAAAAGCCGGAACCTCCAGACTTTACGATTAAAAGACAAAGATACATGGAAAACTTGAAAAAATCTCAGCTTGAGTTTGAAGAGGCAAGTACTTTTTTAATGTCTTTTTTTATCGCTTGTTTTAACCCTAAAGATATTTATAACCGGAGTTTCAGGCCCTAGGAGAGGGGGAGACTGGGGAGGAGGGCGGAAGAGGAGAAATACACTCCCCTTCACTCTCTCCAAGAGACTGATGCTCAGGTTAGGATGTAAATGTCTGTGTGCGTGTGTTGTGCAATAAAATCATCGAAAACTGTCTTTCATTCCAGGAAATATCTCAAGACGAGAAGGGCAAAATACACTTTATTAAATGTCACGTGCCATGGGAAGTAATGTTGTTCTACGCCGAGGAGCTCAGCTTTAGGGCTCCACTTAAGGTAACTATGGATACGGATCTAAACAATCTAAGACGTCTGGGGTTTGGGTGGTGCCTCTGTCACTCAATCAGAATTCCAACTACATAACGGTCAAAGGACCGGCGTAAATATTGTTTGATTCAAAGGCCTGGTTTGGTCACGTGACTGATGAAAATGACAGCGGCAAGTCATACGTTTGTTGCTTCTTTGTATTGAACATTTTTCCTGTTTGTTTTATGATGTCATAGCAACGAACAGGCGTTAAAATCAACTGGACAGAAAAAATGATGAAAAAGCTTCACCTACCAAACCCATTCAAGAATGAGGTTCCCGATGCACCCCCTGATTACTTTACAACACAGTTTAAAGCCAATAAACTACATAAGTAAGTACACGACCTCACACTAGTATTTATATCTCTAGCCCCCTTCATCCCCCACTCCCCCTCCCCTCCCCTCCGCGGTCTTGATATGTCATGATGATGGACGGAGAGTGCTATTGTTTTTCAGATTTATTAACAGTGATGACCCTGATCATTACTTCACCGACACCGAGAGGACAAGAGTGGTAAGATAATAGATTTATCATTACATCTTAGTATTGCTATAGTTATTCACACGTACTTTGATACGCAGGCAAGTGAGATTCTGGAAACAGCTTGTTATGGAAAGAGACAGAAGGGCGAAATCGGTATCAATCGATTAGTAAATGAAGGAGTTTACTCTGCAGCCTATCCTTTACACGTGGTATGTATAAATAAACTTATTACTGATGTACAATAAATCAATAAGTGAAATAGTCTTCAACTGTGTTGTTGTTTGCTCGACAGGGACCGGCTGAGCTACCGCCTGGATATCACCAAGGACCGCATGGACCTGAAGAAATCAAACTAAACATGAGACAGGTTTGAGTCTTAAGAGTACTACCGTTGTTGTTATCAAACCTTATCGCCAACAATGCTGGATCACTGGCCGGCCACATCCAAGCCAGACAATTGCATCCATGCGCGCACTTTAATGAAGAAAAAAGAAAACGCGCGTGCGTGCTATGTGCAGTTATAAAGTACGCGGAGGTCCGCGGACGTAGAACACTCAACTAGAAGTGTTACGACGCGTAGGGTGTTCTGCCAATTCCCAAGTGCTGTATTACTACACACAGTAGTACAGCAAAGCATGCAGAACAGCCATTTTACAAATATTGATGAGTTAACATTGTGTTGTCAATCGTCAGATCCTCAAGGAATACTGGGGACGGTGGGGAGCCTGGTTGAAATACCAACCACTCGATCACATCAGGTCAGAACAACAATATTATTTTCCTTCAATGTATTTATGGAATAATCTCACTAATATGTTCATGGATTCTTTGCATCATTTAGCCGATTTTTCAATTGATTATTTCAGGTGGTACTTTGGAGAGAAAATTGGCATATATTTTGCATGGCTAGGTAACTACTATTTTGTTCAACAAGGTTTAACTAAAATATTATTTACTTGTTATCTAACAAGTGTTTATTTATTATTGTTCCTTCAGGTCAATATACAGCCTGGCTTATCATGCCTTCAGTAGTTGGTTTGCTGGTGTTTATGTACGGTGTCCTAACCATCAATGGAGGCGCAAACAAGCCTGCGTAAGTCTCTCTCTCGCTTGTATTTATTAATATACTGTTATCGAACATTGATTGACTGACTGGATGCATTCTGTTCATAGGCTTGACATGTGTAATTTTCCTAAATGGACTTTCCCCATGTGCCCTGCATGTGAGGTTGGCTGTGCTGTCTGGGATCTTCATACAGCTTGCTCTCGCGCTAAGGTTTGATACTGTTACATATGACGTAGCCATACTTTACTTTTCTTTAAAATTAAGACTAAAATTTATTAAGCTTTAATTAAAATTAAAACTCGCTAATGATGGAGTACCTTATTTTTCTAGCATGCATATCTGTTTGACAACCCAATGACAGTCGCTTATGCGATATTTGTTTCCTTTTGGGGTGAGTAAAACATAAGTTCATTCATTCTTCTTACGTCAAGAGTATTCAAACCTAGTTTTATCTAATCAGAATAAAGAGAAATACGTTGTTGAAAAAGTAAACGACAAAAGTACGTCAAAAGTATTCAAACCTAGTTTTATCTAATCATAATAAAGAGAAATAAGTTGTTGAAAAAGTAAACGAGAAAGAGAGAGAAAGAGAAGAAGAAAGAGAGAAATTAAGAGAGAGAGATAGAAAGGAAGAGAGAAAAAGAGAACGAGAGAGAGCCGGAGAGTGGACGGGGTGTCTGCTGTTGTTTAAACCACAATTTATTTCTTTGCACGCAGCTGTATTTTTCCTTGAGTTTTGGAAAAGAAAAGAAGTAACGATTGGATACCAATGGGACGTTTTGGAGTTTGAAGAAGAAGAGGTAAGATCCACTATAAGTTTCATAACTGTGGTCATATTCTTGCATTTTTATACTAGTCTAACGTATGGCGTCTTTTAACAGGAACGTCCAAGACCCACATTTGCTGCATTAGCTCCTGCCGTTGAACGAAATCCCATAACTGGTTTATTAGAACCGTACTTTCCACAAGAAAAACGATCATTTAGAATGTACTCTGGGATAGCCATCATCTGTGGCATGGTAAGGGCACATGTACTGAATCAGGTAGTGACGCGGGTTACAGGGGATAGCCATCATCTGTGGCATGGTAANCATCTGTGGCATGGTAAGGGCACATGTACTGAATCAGGTAGTGACGCGGGTTACAGGGGATAGCCATCATCTGTGGCATGGTAAGGGCACATGTAATCAGGTAGTGACGCGGGTTACAGAGGTATCAAGGTCAAAGGGTCGTTATGCTAATCTTGCTTATTCTGTGGTGTCCGTCTAATCCAAGGTTTCCCTGGTCATGTTATTCATGGTTGGTGTGATTGTATACAAGTTGCTTGTCATTCATCCACTCTACAAGAACCCAGATCTTCAACCACACGCTAATCAGTTTGTTTCTGCTACTGGTGCTGTTCTTAACTTGATCATTATCATGATCCTTAGTAGGGTAAGTATCATCTACTTAACATGTGTTCTATACAGCAAATGCAGCAGCGTCTACCCAGCAGATCCTGGGCCGATGCTCATGTATAGAGCCAGCTACGTGCTCAAGCTTTTCTTACTTTTTTAGTATCATTTCATTTTTATTTTTTCTCTTCTAGGTTTACGAAAAATTAGCCCTCCTTCTGAACCACTGGGGTGCGTAATATCAACGATTATAATAATAAATATCTACTCCCTTCAACCAATTCGTCATTAATATCGATCTTTTCTTGTTTCGACAGAAATGCATCGAACCCAAACTGAATATGAGGACAACTTGACGTTAAAAGTGTTTATTTTCCAGTTCATGAACTTCTATTCTTCAATATTTTATATTGCCTTCTTCAAGGGAAAGTAAGTCACCTTGTTTCTGGTTATAAAGTTTGATATTAACTGAACCATGTTGCTTGGTTCGTGCATTCCTTCACTCGGCCATATAGAAGTGTATATATTGATGTTGCTTGTCGGTTTTATGCAGATTTGTTGGTTATCCTGGCAACTATGGCACGATATTTGGTCTACGGAATGAAGAGGTAACTACCTTCAATATATTACACTCAGCTTTCCGAGTTTGCACGAAAAACCTGTAACGAGTAGGAAGCGAGAGACGCGCGTTGAAACATGGGGCTCTCTTAGGGGACGCATTTTCGTCTTTTTCGTTTTACAAGTTTTAGTTTTTGAATCGAGTCACATATAGTTTGTTTTAACTCTGTATTTCAAAAGGCCCGGTTTGCTAAACCATCCGCTATGTCATCGTCCCGTCCTTCTTGTTACCAGTTTTCTGCGTAACCTCAGAAAGACCACTCCCGACTCTATTGTCGACTATTTATGTCGCTATCTACAATGCTGCATGGTAAGGTTGATATATACATGTATTCACACTGTTTTCTGTTGTCTATCGTTACTATAGTGCAGCCCAGGAGGATGTTTGATTGAACTCGCTCAACAGTTGGCAGTTATCATGATTGGAAAACAAGTCATCGGCAATGTTCAGGAAGTCTTGATCCCGTACGTAATATATCCAGCACGTTTCCTTCCTTCCTTCCTTCCTTCCTTCCTTCCTTCCTTTTATTAATAATATTTTCCTTCGTAGGGAGATCAAACAATACCTGAAGAAAAGAAAGCGGGGATCGAAAGGTAACGATGAAATCAAACCAAGATGGGAAGCAGATTACGAGCTGCTGGAAAACGAAGGTCTTTTCCAGGAATACCTCGAGATGGGTAAGTTATTCATGGCATCTGAATAAACTGGAATAACTTTGTTGACTTGTGATGTCAAGCAATGCATGAACAACTCGTATGTTTTGAGGCCTTAGCCTTGCAAGTCAGTCTTACGCTACGTACTATTTGCTTATGCACTCTCCCGAGAACAGTGTCATTGCTGTGTAGTATAATATATTATATTGTTGTCTCTCATCATACAGTTATCCAGTTTGGTTTCATCACATTGTTCGTCGCTGCTTTCCCCTTGGCTCCATTCTTCGCACTGGCCAACAACGTTTTTGAAATCCGTATCGACTCGGACAAGTTTGTTTGTGATTTACGTCGTTCAACTGCTGACAGAGCTCAAGATATTGGAGTGTGGTTTAAGATACTCGACGGTATTGCCAAACTAGCAGTTATTAGTAATGTGAGTATATAATATAAAACAAACTTCACTACCTTTGCAAATCATCATTTTATACTGAAATCCTATCGATTTCTATCTTCAGGCCTTCTTGATTGCATTTACTTCTGAGTTTCTACCCAAACTATTGTACGCTGGCATCGTATCTGAAAGTGGAAATTTAGATGGATATCTAAACTTTAGCCTTTCCTGGGCACCTGCGAATACCACTTCACAACCCTGCAGGTGATATACATTGAACAACTTGCTTACAATATCAAGACTATGTATATTGAAAAGATATATACACCACGTACAGTACAGTAATTGCTGGCTTGTCGTCTATTTCAGGTACCAGGGATTGAGAGATAGGGATGGCCATCTTACCACATTTTTTTGGCACCTTGTTACTCTACGACTGGCATTTGTGATTTTATTTGAGGTAACCCAGTCACGTGATTACTGCACATCCATGAGCATACGTTATCATATTATATATTGCAGTGGTTCTAGTTTAGTCCAGAGATAACCCAAGCACAAAGGCTTGACCAGTATTGTTCACCAGCTAACCGTATTATATTAACCTATCATGTTTCAGCATTTCGTGTTTGGAGTTTCCACTCTTATTGACGTCATCGTACCAGATATACCCCAGGGTCTTCAGGACACTATCAAAAGAGAAAAATACTTAGCTACCCAGGCTCTCGCGGATCATCATGGCCTAATGGGGTCTAGTGATATTCTGAACTATGATGACGTATTAGTAGATATGGCTTAGTTCCATGTGCCTCGAATAAATATATCATTGCAATACTAATGCGCGATAAATGTATAGATGGATATTTTCTGTGCAATCTATTCCATTGCATTTGAAATCAAGACTATTTTCTACAACCAATTATATAATTAGTTTATAAAAGAGTGTTTAACTGCTTGGTTGACACGAGACTGTTAAACGTGCGGTAGGGGATATACATGCAGTATGGCTTTACTGGAAAATAGATGGAATAAGTTGAACAGAAAACTAAGGGATGATGTTTATCTTGGTGCCGATACTTTTAAACTGTCCTATTGCCATGACAACGGTGTAGTCAGCAACATGCATGAAACAGTATACAAGTGTGATTCAACAGCTTAGCTAAAAGAGACCGTTAAACAAAGTACATAATAGTTAAGCTGAGGGCTTACAATCGGAAATATAATTCTAAATTCTGTGGGATTATTTGTCAATATACATCTCTTAACTGCTATATGCTGCAATAATGAACTAATTTCAAAACAATTAAACACCATGGTAATGAAGCTTTGTGTTCAATTAGTGTTTTTTTATGTAGTCACTCAGTCGGTTTTTCCAGTGATGTCGTTGAAATGATCGATGCCTAGACATACATACGAACAGTCCTAAACGTACCAATCAGTGGTTCTTCCATACTTCACTGATCTATGCGCATAAAACAACCCTCGTTTTTTAACTTAGTCTTCTGAACTTCAAATAAGATTTTTAAAAACCTCTTGTAAAATTGCGTTTTTTTCAGACTTTACTGAAGGAACGAGATGGCGGAAAAAGAACGAAACATAAAACCAAAATCCCGATTTGGTCATGAAAACTGGGAGGGAATCGCTAAGTCATCTCGGCAGGCAATCCATGAAGTTAATTTTCCTGACATTATTTTATATGAGAAACAAATTAATATAACAAATATAAAGAAGTATTATATGTTCCAAGCTGTGAGAATACTTTGTAAATAGTTTCTTAAAGGGAACAATAGTTTAAGCTTGTTCCATATATCGGTATATACGTATATATGCACCTGTAAAAAAGATCGCCACGCCCACATGATCTCTACCTGTCAATCAAAAGAAACAGGTGCACGAACAAGAGCACGCATGCGCAGTAGTGCATGTTGATTCGATCTCGTTTTTCCTGACGAGAAAAGAGTTCGAAGAATCACCTTGAAGTTGTTGTTGGTTGATGATCTGCATTTGCTTTCATTATCCTCAAATAAGATACTATATTACCGTGTAGTCCTGATAGATTATGAATAGCACAAGTGGAAGTTCGTTGTGGAAAGCTGATTGAGTGGAAAGCGAGCAAGAGTGCTTCAAATATGGATGACAGGAATCCACTTGCTACCAACGAAAACCTGGTATGTATGTGATTTATTTTGTGTTTATATTACTTCTAGATTATTGGATTTGATTTTTGCTGTAAGTATTTTGTAGGTCTATGTGCTGTATTTAGTCGTAGCGAAGAGTATTTACATTGCCGAGATTGAATATTATGAATAAGTTCAAATCTAAGATATTTCTGCTTGGATGATTCAACAAAAACACGAATTTGTCAGTAGTATTTCATCAGTTTTTTACCCGATATAGATTCAGATTTTCGGAAAGAATGCTAGTGGGCCACTGATGTTTCATAGGGAAGCCAGTATTCTAGTCCTGCTGAGCCAAGAGAATATTTTATTTGTCGAATTATAAGTTTGATCGTTCGAAGATCACCGTCGTCGTGATCGTGTGATCATGGCTTTTCCTTCTTCAATCAATTCATAATAATCCATCGTCTTCAAAGGAATGTTCTAATTTTGGTCGAGCGTAATTCGTTCAAATGCTGGTAAATTTTCTTCGACCAAAGATTAAAGCAGACTCAATGTTGTGCATTAAAAATGGATGATAATCGACATGCAGATCGCGTCTCTTCATCCCAGTATACTTCAGTAATAAAGACATTTTGCTCTCTTTATTATCATGCATTCGTTTTTTCTTCTTTTTTCCCCGACCAGACACATGATATAGATATATAGAGAACTACACTTTTCATAAACTGACATTAGATTCTACCTTTTACTAGCGAATAAGCCTTCCTTGTGGGATATTTTATTAGTAATATTTGATGTGTTCTACTGCAGTTGGTCGATGGTGTTTGGTTGGGTGTTGACAACACAGGTTTGGCTTTATGCGTTGGCGTTAGGAATAGCTAACCGATCGACGGTGAATATCAACGCCAAACGTTTCACTAATCATCGCAATAAGCGTTAATGTTTTTGTAAAAATATTCTTCTTGCATTTTGATTTTAAGTGCCTGAATTCCTTGACAAGAAACCATAACGATATCAATCCATGCAGAAGAGATTTCACACCTTTTTATTTTCCCTGTAAGAAAATTATTTTAAACCTTCATTGATCATAGAGGTAGAATTTTCCCTTGTATTAAGACGCAAGAAAAACATTTCCTTCACTCAAAAATTATCGCTCTATTCGTTAATTGAAATGCAACTATGGGGACGATAATTTCAATGAAATATTTGCTATTAGTGGCTAAAAATTTTGCAAAATAAATGGGATTGAATTTGTATTCATTGCAGCTTAAATTAATTGCAAAAATMTTGAAGGATGAATGAAAAATCTGACAAATAAAGGGAAACTTTTTTTGGAAATCGTAAAAGTTTAAATGGTCATTATTATTCATGAACGGATGGATGGCTTTAAAGCTGATTTACATATGACAATAATAAATCATACATTACGTTCAAGATATGCATGGTTGCTATTGGTGACATTACACTGCTATACATAGCTTAAAAACAGAAATTTAAAGAATTTTAATTAGTTTTTTTACAATATATATAAGTAATCTTATTTTGTTTCAATATACCTTTCCTTGGCTCAATTCTCGTGTATAAAAAGTATTTTTAGAGAGATCAGTAAGACTGCCAGTGGTGTAATCATTAGTTCCTCTTAATTGTTCATTCAACAATAACGGCAGAACAAGGGTCAGGAATTTGATAACTGTGTTCTTATCCTTTTCCTGGCTCTTATTCCTTTAATTTATTTTACAATAGAAAACTTTGATATGTTCAAAGACTATTAAAAGAAATTATGAGCTTGTATAACATAATCCATTATGTAAGGCTATAGTGCATTCCACTAGGACAGAAGGAAGGAAGGAAGGAATAATGCAATATTTTTGTCTATTCTAATATTTGACTAATTTGTGTGTTTGTGTGAATCAGAAGAACTACAGGCAGATGTGTTGGAAGTGATTCTGAAAAGGATTCTGTAATTAATCTTTTATATAGTTTTATTTATGTTATATAAAGCCTTAGTCCAGCTAGAACACCCACACCTGGTATAGTCCTTTGACTGCATGCAGATGGCTTCTAGATGTCTAGCATAGTATCATATCCATTACAAATGCTGTTAACTATTCATGCGATATGTTAAAATACTAGAAGAAAAAAAGATAGCATTTTCTACTAGATTCAATAGTTATTATCAAAGGCTTAAGGAAAATCTAAGGAGTCAGGGGCTATATAATTGACAATGGATATTGTTTTTAATCATTAACCAAGAGTGATTTCTGATTTCACGACTAAAATCTTTACAGATAAGAGTGAGTAGACAAAGAAAAAAGACCTATTATATAAAGGATCTGTGTTGTAATCTCTGTGATGTAAGCACAAAACATACAAACAATCACCCTTGAACAATAAACTACTGAACCGTATCACAAGAAACAATAGAATAAGCAGGTGACATTATTATAGCTAAATATACATGTATGGTTATTCTTTCAAATCTATCAAGGTACAAACCTCATATTGTCAGCTAGGTTTACAGGTACCAGCCTGTCAGTGTTAAGTCTCACTTGACAGTTATCAAAATCAATCAGAATTAATTTTTACTAGTTTGTTTGTTCTCTAATATCTTTTTAGTCAAAGGTATCATATTAAAAAATGAAAAAAATCACATTTAACTGGAGGCTGGATGTATTTGGATTTGTTTAGAGTTATGTGATGTACCTGCCAAATGCCAAGCAGTGTTTACATTAGTTCCGTCTTGATATATAGCTAGTTATTCAAGCAGTCAAGGGATAAGGAACAAGTTTTAATGAAGGTTTAAAATGATCTTTATGCTCTGCTAAATACACTTATCAAGTCGAAAATAATCATGTCGGAAGAAAGTGACAAATCCTATACCAAGGAAGGGGAAACTCATGTTGACATTGATCCAGAATCTGTCAAAAATGAGGGAAAAGATTCAAAACAGGTACCACAAATTAAGTCAAGTAAATATGCCATCATTAATATATTGTGGGGTCATTCCTTGTACGATTTACCTCTTTACTTACCTCTTGTATTATCGTGCAGCTGTCACATCACAATCATTATTATTATTTTTTTGATAAGTTAGATGAAGTGTCACTTCTTGTTGGTTCATAACTTGATTTGAGATCAAACATCATATGTAACTATTGTTCCTTTATTATCTTTGAGGTCTTTACTGATGTGGAAATTTGGACACAGGAATTATTATAATTATCTAGTTATTATATAATTATAGTATAAATAGTTCAAATTGTGTACTTTAGTTTAGATTAAGCATTTATTCTTACATGGAATTTGTTATTTACTTTAACTCCCTGATATATGACTATTATCCTTTTAGTTTACCGTCAAGACTTTAAAAAATTAGACATACAATCATGTTGCAACATTCTCTTTAATGGCCTTTCTTGACAGATGGTCTTTAGGCTGTTTTTGTTCACCACATACATTTTTGTGRGGTACATGGATACATGAATGTGACTAAGTATATCATTATGATATTTGGTAGACTAGGGCAGGGATGATTTATCAAAGAGTAGACATTAACACATTGCAGTTTGAATTTCACATTTTGGTTCTCTTCAAATAAACAGAATTATATTTTTTAAATGAATGAAAAGCTCTATTGATGATAACTAGAAAGAGGAATTACGATATCTGTCAAATTACTTTTAATTAATTTGTATGTACACAGATCTCTTTTCTTTCTTAATCTATACTTGCAGTCATTGCCATGCATGCTTTTCTCATTCAATTCTCATCTAATATCATATTATGTCAACGAGCATCTTACAAATGCATTTCAGACTGTTATCAAAAATGATTCCAAGCAGTTGCTATAATTATTCTAAATCAGACAAATATTTGAGAACTCCTTTCAGATCATTATTCTTAATGCATCCTGTCTGCAATGCCATAGTTGAACTCCTATATTATTTCTATTAGATGCAGTGTTACTCTTACATCTATAACTGGAAATGCTATATCTGTCAGTCTATTACTCTCTTTTCTCAACATGTATCATCTAATCCATTTTCTCTTTCATTTTGTGTAGGAAATGGCTTCTTATAATACTTTTGATCCAACTTACAATGATGCCATGTACAAGGTGTTGTGGTCTTTTCTTAAATGGAGTGTTGAGTGTTTAAAGTGCACTTTATCCTTACTGCTTGTCACAGATCACAGTACACATTATCATTCTGCATGTATGCATTAATGTGCTACTGACACAAATTTCATCATTACAACACAGTAGTATGCACAATACAGGCACTCTCTGAACTAATATATCTTTATAATCACCTGCACCTTAAAACTGGCAAACATGCCATGTATCTAACACAATTACTTTTAAGATACTGTGCACCGAGCTAACCTGTATACTAGTGTGATGCCTGCATGATTGTACTGCTAAGATTCTGTGCACTGAACTAACCTGTATACTAGTGGGATATATGCCTGCATGATTGTTCTGCTAAGATTCTGTGCACTGGGCTAACCTGTATACTAGTGTGATACATGCCTGCATGATTGTACTGCTAAGATTCTGTG